TCTTTGTATTTTGAAAAAAAGTGTTAAACTTTTCGTTTACATTTTAAGCTCGGTTTTAAAATCCAAACTGATCGAGAAGATACTACTTGGGAATGATACTGATTAGTTTTAGGTGAAAGTCTGTCTAGCCGTGTTCTTGTAATTAACTGTTAAAAAAAATTTAAGCCGATTTTTATGGAACTTCTTTTGGCGATATATATCATGGTCTTATAGAACTTACTGAAATATTACGGCCTTGCGACAAGCAGTTTAATTTTGAAAATTCATCAAAGTTTGAGAAAATGAGTAGATTTTTTTGACGTGTGTTAAAATTAAAATTAGGCAATTTACTTGGTATAACGATAGAGTACTTCTAATGAACATACTAAACCATTAAAGTCCTACGGAAACTGGTTCAATTATAAAAAGTATTCATTTTTGAAAATTTGCTTTTAGAAAAAACTTCGAGTTAACGTGTTCGTTCGTTTTCAATTATGTGTAATAAATCCACTCGGAATACTTTTAATCACTAATAAATTAATTTATTTTTTATTAAGTCGATTATTTACACATGTCGGGAAGTTCATGTAACTTGTCTCAATACCAAGGCAAAATACCAATACCAACTAGTTTAATTAGTTGCAGCCAATCCCTAGAAGGCATATTTCCTTTTAGAAACATGTTGTGGATCTTTATTACCAAGTAAAAATGGACATATCACTTCTACTTGATGATAGTATCCCAGTCTGTATGAAATTAAGTATTTAACGAAGATTAGTTGCAAATATTTGTACCTCTATATAATTTAATAATAACATAACTTATGTTGTTATTGAATCCAACCCAGTCTATGATATTTAAATGTAGTTCATTCTACATTCTTTTTCTGATGCAAGTTGCTTTCAAGCTTTTGGAGAGACATTTATGATGAAGATATCGCCGAAACATTAAGTTTTAGGTGATCCTAAGTTTCACAGAAACCTATTAAAATCTGTAAACTTACGAAAAATTTTAAATTACCGTACTGTAAAAACATAATTCTTGTTACCACTTTTTGATAATTATATTTTTTTTAAATCAGAATAGCAATTGGAACTAACGATAAATGTTCCGTGAGTTGTTTTATGTATTTTCCTTGTAAATTTCTCGAAGACCACAATGGTTTTTTACACTTTATTGTAAGTTCATTGTTTCTCTCTTTTGTTCAACTTTTTGCTGGAAAAGTATTATTTCAATTTGGGAATATATATAATTATCATATATATATATATATATATATATATATATATATATATTTGAAGAATAGTTTTATGTTAATCAGAAAATGGAGGATGAATGCAATTACTTAATTGCAGACATGTCTCGTACTCGTCATCGTATTACACATGATTATTTTTTAAATCGCATGGATAGTCATAAAGCAATCATTAAAATATTATTTGTTTATTTCTTGCTTGGGATTTACACATAATGACAGTTAAGCGACTTACTTATTCGCGAAAGCTGAGGGCATTTTCCTTGGTTTATTCCCGTTGCAATTCCCACCAGCACTTTGTAAACTAGAGTTGCCCATACTAAAGGTATATAAAATTCGAAAAGAAATTGCTAAATGAAATCTTGAAATCATAGTGAGATTTATTAATAAAATATAGCGATAATTATGTTAATGGTAAAATTTTCTTGATTATTGCTGGTTTGCAGATATTTAATTTTGCAGAACTTTTTTAATTCGTTAGTATTTAAAAATATTATTTTAGATAGTTCTAATTATTCCTGGCACTAGGCTCCTCCTCCAACGTGCTTAAGGAAAAATTGATGAACACTTCCCACTTTTTGTTTTATTTACAAACTAGTGGGGCGCATGGCATCGTGCCTTAAGGCAAATTGCTGGAACTTCCCGTACTGAAAATTATATTTTTTAAAGAAGATTAACATTTTTGAAATAAAATTACTCTGAAATAATTAGATTTTTGAGTAACTATAAATTTTTGACAAAAATTTACTTTTTTTTAAAAAAAAAAAACCTTTTTGAAGAAAAATTTATTTTGAAATATTTTGGAATTTCTGATCTTTTTTTTAAAGCAATCGTTCTGCTTTAACTGCATAGAGGAAATATCGAAGCGCGTAAGCGCCGCGTCGCCGTCTAACGGATAAACATTGGTACGGAACCCATAGGAATGTGAAAAAGATTTATACTTTTTGTTAAAATCTCTATAAAATATCTGATAATTTGATGTGCATATGTCTACTGATCATTTCTGACCAGATGGCATTTTTTTTTTACTTTTTTTTACTAAATCTCCGAAACCGCTAGACCTGCCTTCATGATAATTTGATCAGTTCTTTGATCTTGTTAATACAAGTAAAATGTTTTTTGAATTATTCAAATCGGACGCTCTCTTAAAAACTGAGTTACCGTTTTTGGCACTTTTTGCCCCATATCTTCGGAACGGCTAGTCCTGCCTTCGCCAAAAAGCACATCCCCTAATTAGCACATCTCCTTATAAATACGAATCGAATGTTTTTTGAATTATTCAAATCGCTTCATCATCCGTTTCCCGAAATCGTCGACGAAATTTGTATCCGCACACACGCACACACACACATACATCCATTTTTTCTAAGGTATGCCAAAATATTTAGAAGGTTTTGAAACGTAAAGATATATAAAAATTTTCATTTTCGATTTTTTTGCGATTACTATAACTTGCCCTACGAGAAGTTTAACAAAAGTTAAAATAATCATGTGAATTTTGTTTCAACTAAAGCAAAAACTCGATTTTTTTATTTACTTTATTCTGCTATCTGTTTTTAATACAACATTAAGTAAAGAAGAGTGCTGTTTAGATTAGATTCAGGTAAGAATATAATAGACGAATATTTGTATCCGCATACACACACATACATCCATTTTTTCTAAGGTATGCCAAAATGTTTAAAAACCTTCGAAACGTAAAGATATATAAAAAAATGTATTTTCGATTTTTTTGCGATTACTATAACTTATCTACGGGAAGTTAAAAATGATTCTGGTATGAATCCAATGGAAATCTACTACAGATCTTATAAGAATAGTGCCGGAATCTCAAAAGAATCTAGTTAGGATCTGGTTGGGATTTAGTAAGTTTCACGTTGGAGCTAATTAGAATCTAGAATCTACTTAAAAGTTAAAAATTATAGCTATCATCAGCTGTCAATGATTTAATTCAATAAGTTTGTATATTATGGCGGGTCAATTTAAAGGTCAAAATAAGATACTTTGCTGAAGAAACCATACCTCTACAATGAATTCTGATGTCCCGTGCATTGACCTAAAAATAAAGGGTCAATGCCTCTCAGGGTGCCAGGGGTTGAACCAGGGGCATGGGTGGATAGGCCTACCAAAGTTAGTGGTGGGTCGTTCTTATATTTGGAAGCAATTAGGGCACTCTAAATGGGTCAAAATGGAATATTTCAAATTTTAACCCTTATTTTTGGGTTAATGCACGGGACATCAGAATTCATTTTAGATGTGTTTTTCTCCAGCAAAGTATCTTATTTTGATCTCTAGTATCCGAATATTATATGTGCCTAGACGGCTTTTTTACCCATACAAATCGACCTGCTCTAGTGTATATTGAATTCGAGTTTGTTTCTGTGAATTGAGGAAAAGTGAGAGTTTATTTGTTATGCATTTTTTTATTTTAAAAGAGAAAATGCTTTACATCAATCTTAATCCTCAACTAACAGATATGTACTGTAATAAAATTACCTAATTATTACGTGAACTGGGGATTACAAAATAACCGAAATCGATATTTGCTTTTCTTATTGTCAACTCTATACAATCGCATTCAGTCATGTTCTCAACATTAATGGAAGACAGTGATTCCCCACAAGATTGCATCACTTTGTATACACCTGAGTCGAACTTAATTAAAAATGCGAAAATATAAATGAACTTATATTAATAAGCAAAATATGTAACTATTGACACGGAGCAAACTAAACATAACTAATCAATAGATGTGATCTGTTAATAAGTAAAATTTCATTAATAAATATTTACTCGTGTAGACCATGAATTAAAAAACGTTTTGAGATTTTAGGCACAACGTCATATCGAATATTCTTTGGTCCATTTGTTGAGAAATTTGACTTGTGTTATATCAAATATATAATGAAAATTCATAGTAAAATAGTGAGCGGTATTTTATCGGGTGCGCAACTAAGAAAACTGCCTTTTCTAATTATAAAATTGCTTTTCCACGAAGAAATTAGAATACAAAATAATTACACAGAGCTGCGATGACTGAATCACTGGGATTTTTTTTTATCAGAATATAAAATTATTTCTTAAAATTTTCTGTATATTATATTTCTGTATATTTTTTACAGTCCCAATTGTTTTAGTTATCAACAATTTTTTTTACCTATATCTTAATTTATATTATGAACCTAAATTTTTACAACTTTTGCAGATTTTTAAGATGGAGCCTGCTTCAGAGGATTAAAAAATCGATTTTGTTTTTAGCAAAACTGTCTTCCAAAACTAGCCAAGAATATATCCCTAAAATTTCAGAAACAAATTCAAATTATCTTCAGAATTAATGAAGAAGTAGTGAGCAAGCGGTTTTCTCGGTTTTTCATTTTGTCAAATCTTCTAATTGGCGGGAAAGGCAGGGAAAAAATTAAATGTCCTATAGAAACGAGACAAAATTCGTTCTAATCAAGATTAAATTCTAAAGTAGTTGAACCTAAAACCTACTATTAACCCACTTTTTGAACAAACTAAATTGAAATTTTGTATCAAAAAAACATGAATTGTTTTTCAAGTTGCGAAAATATGGTCAATTTTTGTTTTTTCCTGTTTTTTTTAGGTTCAACAAGAATCTATACTGTTGAAAATATATACTTGTCTCGAGTTTTTTTGTTTGGAATAAATATTTTTAATTATTTTTATGCGATATTTTAAAACTTAACTATAGATGCATGGTTAATATTTAAAATATGGCAGATTGGAGTATGAAACTATTGTTTCTTAAAAGTATTTAAACTTTTAGTTTACTTTTTTAAAAATTCAATATATGTATATTGTACAATTATTTTATTAGAGACAGAAGACCAGAATAAAATCGTTATGCTTTTTTTATTAACCCAAATTACTGATATTATCATTATCTATAACCCATTTAAAGACTTGCCCTAGAAGTAATACAATTTGATTCAAATAATTAAGAATCATGTCACACATTTAATAAAATATTTTTATAAAATTACTATAAATCTAAATTGATATTCATTTTCATAGCTTTATTGTTGTCATATTAAACTATATATTGATAAATATTAACTTTCCGTAGGGTAAATTATAGTAATCGCAAAAAAATCGAAAATGAACATTTTTATATATCTTTGCGTTTCAAAGGTTTTTTAATATAATATTTTGGCATACCTTAGAAAAAATGGATGTGTGTGTTTGCGTGTGCGGATACAAAGATTCGTCGACGATTTCGGGAACATCAATCGATTTGAATAATTCAAAAACCATTCGATTTGTATTGATAAGGTGACGTTCTTATTAATTTTTGGCGAAGGCATTTCTAGCCGTTCCGAAGATACGGGGCAAAAAGTGCCAAAAACGGTAACTCCGTTTTAAGAGAACGGTACATTCGATTCTAATAATTCAAAAAACAAGTTACTTGTATTGACAAGATGAAGAACTGTTCAAATTTTTGGGAAGACAGGTCTAGCGGTTATGGACTCTCAATGAAAATAAGTTAAAAAAAATGTCATTTGGCGGTCAAAAATGTTTATAGAGATTTTAATAATGTGTACGCATTTTGTGTAATTTTTTTTGGGTTCCGTACCAAGATTTTCAATTACGGTACGGGAAGTTCCAGTAATTTGCCTTAAGGCACTATGCCATGCACCCCACCAGTTGAATTTTATAAGAACAGATAGTTGTTACTAACTTGAAAATACACTTACCTTGAGGAAATAGTATCTGGAAACAGCTAAAACTTCGATTTAAAAATAAATAACATAAAATAAAAATTAAATTCATGTTTTAATTACTCAAAAAATATTAAAATGCTGAATTTATTTGTTTAAATCTACTTTAGTAATAGTTAGTGTTGCCATCTAGTTTGCTGTCAAATATCACTTTTCCTTGACACTTCTTTTTGGAGTGCAAAACCACGTGTTTATTAATGTATAAATTATTATTAAACAAGTTTTCCGGAAATATATTGTAGATCAAACTAAACAGGAATAAAATTGAATAATACACAATGGGAAAACTGAACGTATCAATATTACGTTATTTAGACAAAGAAGACTTTCGCGTTTTGACGGCCGTGAGTGTTCGACTTTCAAATGTCAAAAATTTTAAGGTTAGGTTTTTTACCCAAAATTTTTCAAATGTTTTCAGATTGAGATGGGCATGAAAAATCATGAACTGGTGCCGGGGTCTCTTACAGCTCTGATCGCAAATTTGCGACATGGTGGTGTTCACAAAATTTTAAGAGAACTTTGCAAACATCGGTTGCTGAGCTACGAACGTGGAAAACATTGTTAGTAGATAGTAATAATAATAATATAGTCTACCTTTTAACACTTTTTTATACACTTTTATGCATATTCCTTTTCAAACTTCTGTTTGTAAATTTCCTTATTCCGTGCTTCGGCTTTTAGTATTTTAGTACTAGTATTTTTTCCTCCCATTCTTCTCAGAACTTCTCTATTTGCTACCTTGTTTGTCCACTTTAGCTTCTTCGTTCCCCTCCAGCACCATATTTCAAACCTATAGATTGTTTCCGTCAGCCTTTCCGAGGACTCTGATTCATACAGGGCCATGCTCCAGACATTTATTTATTTATTTATTTGATATAATTCATACATACTGTATCTTAGTCAGACAATTGTTCTGGTATGAGAGATCACAGCAATTATAACAAAAATAAAATCTAAATTTTATGTAACAGGCTTACATTAAGACATCTATATATTTTACTTATTACTATATACACAGAACGCTTGCGTACATACATACATACTTAGGGGCCGTTCAAGTATTACGTAAGCACTATAGAGGGCGGGGGCGTTGTTGATTTGCTTATTTTGGGTTGACATGGGGGGCAGGGGAGTCTGGATGATGATTACGTCATAGGTAGTATTTTCATTTTTTTACATTAATTGCAAAATGTTTACGTAAGCATGGTGGTAGGGGGCAAGAGCTTTGCTTACTTTTGCTGACAAGGGGGATGGGGGGGTAAATAATTGTAATAAATCTGCTTACGTAATACTTGAACGATCCCTTATACTTAATTGTAATTAATATTTTTACAAAACAGAAGTAATATAGTATTTAAAATAAGGAATTTTATATCATTTATTTCATTTATCTCTTAACACTTTATTAGTCTTTTTCGCAAGTCGAGACCCAGATTACTAGTCAGAAGGTTTCTCTTAGTATATACAGAATTTAAATTGAATGCATTAGGTGATCTTGTTTGGTTTAATTTGAATTGTGATTTGTATTTAGCAGAATATCATAGTTTAAATATTTAATCTTTGAAAATAGGTGATGTATCAAGGTATATTGTAATTCAAAAGTATTCAATTATTAAAAAACGGATTAAACTTAATTAACCGCTTAAGTTAGGTACTGTCAATAAATTTATAATCAGTTTTTAGTTTCTTGAGCACTTGAATTACGTTTTTATATAATTTACACTAATATTTCATTACTACTTTTAATACATCATTATTATTCTATACCACAAATCTAATCTTAGATATTTTTTAACAATGCATATAACTTTATTATATAATTTGCAATACACATGTTTAATACATTATGTGTTTTTTGTAATAACTAACAGTATATTTTTATTTTAAATATACAAATTTTGGAATAAACAAGGTTAATTGCAGATGATGGATACAGGCTGACAAATATGGGCTATGATTATCTGGCCTTGAAAGCATTAACTATGAGAAACGTTGTTGAGTCATTTGGAAATCAAATTGGTGTTGGTAAGGAATCGAATATTTATGTTGTAGCAGATGAAGAAGGTGAAGCCTTATGTCTTAAACTCCACAGGTGAATATCATTCATTTAATATGTCAGTATAATCATGAATGGTTTCTAAATAATATAACATTTGTTATTACTTCCTTTTTATAATCAGATTGGGCCGAACATGCTTTCGTAGTGTAAAGTCAAATAGAGATTATCATCAACATAGGCATAGAGCATCTTGGTTATATTTATCAAGGATATCTGCTACTAGAGAATTTGCTTACATGAAGGCTTTATATGATCGTGGGTTTCCTGTGCCTCGGCCTATAGACTGCAATAGGCATTGTGTTGTTATGGAGTTAGTTCATGGAACACCTCTGTAAGATCATATTTATTTATTTTATAGGTTGAAATAAATTTTATAATTGCCTTGGTTATTATATTCTCACAATTTTTATTAATTCAAATAGTTTTTTTGCTATCCTTTTACTACTTGATTTTTAATTAATTTATTTTTATTTTATTATAGTTGTCCTATTTGGTTATTCTTTTAAGTCTGTTAAGATATTTGTTAAGTCTCTTAATTTTAAAAAGTTTTTTAAAAAGATAAATATTTTTTTCAGAACCCAAATTCATGAAGTAGACAATGTTGAATCTCTTTTTGATGAGCTAATGAATTTAATAGTTCGATTGGTAACTGTGGAGTTATTCATGGAGATTTTAATGAATTCAATATTATGCTATCTGATGATGGACATCCTGTAGTTATTGACTTCCCACAAATGATCTCAACATCTCATCCCAATGCTGAAATGTACATGTTTAAATATTTTGAATAAGTTTGTTATAAAAAAAATAGTAAGATAATTGGATTTTTTTTCTAAATCATTAATTTATAACACATTTCAATCAGGTTCTTCAATCGTGATGTGACATGCATTCAACAATTTTTCCGGAAACGATTTAATTATGAAAGCGATCTCCATCCTACATTTGCTGATTTGGAACGTGATGATAATCTCGATGTTGAAGTAGCTTGTAGTGGCTATACGAAAGATATGGAAAAGGATTTATTATGTGAATTAGGTAAGTTTTATAACTTGAATTCAGTGGTAAAAATAATTTAGTAGTATATCTGAAGAGGAGTAGATAAATATATATATATATATATATATATATATATATATATATAAATTTGATTCATTTGCAATAAGTGGTATGTATCATGCCTATAATTAACAAAATGTGTGACCCCTGCATACATGTATGTAAGTTCATTCAATTTTAGACAGTATATATATAGTGAATGCTAAACATTGTTTTAGGTATGAATAATGATAGTGATTTCGAAGATGTAGATGAGCAAGAAACACCAATTGAAACTTTTGAAGAAAATTCTGCTGGTATTGCTGATTTGAGGCAAGATTTTGAGAAAGCTATTCAACATGATGAAGAACGACACTGTAAAACAAATACTCAACCTGCAAAAGCACATCAATTACCACTTGAACAAGATCAAAATAATGACATTACACAAACTTTAACATCTCTAGAATTGAATTCTGAAAATTGTAATAGTGATAGTCTTGAAAAAGATACAATATCTAAATGTAAGAATTCAGATAAAGAGAGTTTACAACGGCAGTATGAAATGGTTGAACGATTATTTTCTGATGTTCGAAGTGTGAGATCTACCACAACTGCTAGTACCATAGCTCCTGATGTTATCAAAAACAAAGTAAAAAAAGCATTAGATCATAAACAAAAATGTGATGATAGAAAAAGATGTGTTGTTAAGGTGAAGCATCAGCAGTTACTAGGAGCAGACGTGAGAATAGAGCTAATATTAAAGATTCTACTGGCATATGGGGATGGGAATAATTTTTATTTTGAAATGCCTGTAAATAATGTTTTCTATTCTGTCTAAGATTGTATATTATGTTTATTGTGATCAATAATTAATAACATATTTCTTTATTTTATTGAGCTCTAGTTCTGACAATTTTAGGGTGCATAATTGATTTCTGCCAAATGTATTTTAATACAATTTTAATAATTTTAGAAAAGTGAATATCCAGCTTTTGTCCAAATCAAATAATTACCATTTTTTTATTTTGTAAATGCACATTTGGTTTTAAAATTTTGCATTGTCAGTTGCATATGATCATGTGATTATACACTATAATGCAGTTATTTCGTTAGAAACAGTAATAATATTGTGAGTGATTGTATTTATTATTTATATAAAAAGATAAAAATATACACCACCTTAAATCAGGCTAAGAATTTTGACATTTGCATATTTCAGCCAGCATGAAGTTGGCGACGAAATAGAAGTTAGACGTCAAGTTGAAATGTATTGGATTCATAACTTTGACAGCTAAAACCTGTCAAGATCATTATTATCACAGCCAAACAAGTATTATTATTATTAAATTGTCTAATACCAAGATGATAGCCTTTATCTTAGACAATATATTACGTTAAAATACAATATATCTTGTTCCCTCATAGCAAATATTGCAGAAAAAACGAAATATATCTGTCAATTCCAAGACAGTATGAAGTATTTTGGTTTAGTATTATAACATCAGAAGTATTTCAATTTTATTTCATTTACTGAACCTTCTATTTGTTGTTTGTTGAGTTTTAGTTAGCTTCCACTGAATTAAGGTTAAGATCGAAACCAAACCTAATAATGTATACAACGTAACCCTAACAAAAATAATGAATAAAATGTAACCCTATGCGTAAAACGTAAGCCTAAATTATTTTTTAAAACAAAATTATAACTAAAACATTGTATAAAATCTAAGCTAGACTAAAATGATCTTTGAATGAAAAGAATCCTAAAACATAACCCTAAAATGTAAAAATTAAAATAAGAACTAAATAGGCGCGTAATCAAAAAGCCAAAGCGAATAAACTTGAACGGACATAAAAAAAATAAACACAAAAAGAATGAATCATAACGAAAAGCTAAAAAATATTAAATATGAAACAAGCCTACTTAATAAAAAACAATACGCCGACACAACTCTGATATAAAAATGAACAAAATGGCCGACGCGCTCTTGACATCTGAAATGCTTGACAGCTTGATATCAGTCTTCGCCGGCAACTTCATGCTGGCTGAATTATGCAAAAGCTTGATTTAATGCCTCCTTAAAAATATCAATTTGTATTGCCAGTTAACGTGCTGACAGTTGGGAGTCAGGTCAGGTCTTGTTGAACTGTCAAGGCGCCATGTCAGGTGTCATATACAAAAACGTGTTATCTGTCTGACAGTAACGTGTTTGCGCATTTTTCTGCCAAATAATTTTATTTTTTAATATTTATATAACATGTGTGATTAATATGTAGAGATAAAAAGTTATTTATTTTTGAAATACCCAAGCATTCAAGAAATATATAGCGAATAAAAGTGTGCGATAAATATATATTTACATTTTAATTTAAATCACAATTATAATAAAACAGTACTGAATTTAATTAAAAATGAAGCAGCGTTTTAATACCTACGATATAGTCTGTAGCGTTACAGAACTACAAAGGTAAATAATTATTACTTCAATTTTCTTCCTGCAATTGATTTTGTTTATATTATTCTTTTAAACATTTTATTCTCATGATTTTTTTTTAATTGTTTTAAATTGATTTTTAGGCTTATTGGCATGCGAGTAAATCAGGTATATGACATCGATAACAAAACTTACTTAATAAAATTGCAAAGAACAGAAGAAAAATGTGTTTTATTACTGGAATCTGGAAATAGATTTCACACAACTGCATTTGAATGGCCTAAAAATGTAGCACCTTCAGGGTTCAGTATGAAGGTAATATTTATAATATTTTTATTGATAATAATTTATTTATGTGTATAATTACATTCTGATGAGATGATTAAAGACGTAGATTACATTGCATATGCATTTTGGAAAAATGAATTGACGAACCATATTTGATGAAATACAAATGATTTATTTAACTGATTCAATAATTGAATATATTAGTGTTCCTCCTTTTTTAAAATATATTTAGATGTATATATATATATATATATATATATATATATATATATATAAAGACTGCCAATAAATGGAAATTTGTTACATATATTTAAGAATTATTGTGATTTAGATGAGAAAGCACTTGAAGAACAAAAGGCTTGAGTCATTGAAACAATTAGGAATGGATCGGATTATAGATTTACAATTTGGGAGTGGAGAAGCTGCTTATCATGTTATTTTAGAATTATATGACCGCGGTAATATTATTCTCACAGACTATCAAATGACTATTCTGAATATTCTAAGGCCACACACTGAAGGTGAAGCTATAAGGTGATGTAAAATATTGAAGTTAAAATATAGTTTGTTAATTGTAATTTAATAATTATAACTAAATATTTTATATCTACATCTAATTGTGTAATTTAATTGGAATAGACTTGCTGTGAGAGAAACATATTCTGTAGAACGTGTGCGGAACCATAATGGAGCACCCACTTTGGAAGAATTAAAAGAAATATTTAAAAAAGCTCAACCCGGTGATAATTTAAGAAGAGTGTTAAACCCTCATTTAGGTAAAACTTGTTGACCGTAGCTTATGCTTTATTATTTGCTTATCAATTATAAATTAGAATTTAAAGTGTAATAAATATGATTGTATTACTGTTTAGTTTATGGCCCAGCTATACTAGATCATGTTTTGATATCAAAAAATTTGTCACATCTAAAAATCAAAGGCCAGCAGAAATCCAAAGACAATTCTAAGAAGAATAAGGGCAAAGAAAAGGAATCTAAAACGAAAGATAAAAAAAATCAGAAAAAGGGCAAGGCATTTGACAAAGTAGAAAATGAAAATATAGAGCCTGAACCCAACAAGGAAGAATTTAATGAGAAATGTATACAAGAAAATACAAGTTTAGAAGATAATGATCCTAATATATTTAATATAGATAGGGATGTAGTAAATTTGCATGAAGCTTTGTTATTAGCAGAAGAATTATTGCAGAAAGCAAAAGAAAGCGTGTCAAAGGTATTATATTAATACTAATAACAGTTGTTTATCATATGGTACAGATCTTATATTGTCATGATCTGACCCACTAGAACCAAAGCAATTACTTTAAAATACTTATAACAACTTATATTTGTGTATATTAAATAATGTATGAAGCTGCAAACATAAAAAAAATATTTGTAAAATATAAATGTGTTGCAACTCAAATCTTAAAACAATTTAGATTGAATTATATTCTAACATTATAATGTTTTAGGGTTACATTATACAAAAGGAAGAAATGAAATCAACTCAAAATTCAGAAGATAATATTTATTACAGTAATCAGGAATACCATCCATTTTTATTTAAGCAACATGAAACAGGACCATATAAAGAACTTTTGTCGTTTGATGTATGTGTTGATGAATTTTATTCAGCATTAGAGGGCCAAAAAATAGATTTGAAGGTAAAAAATAAAATAATTATATTATTATTAAACATTATATCATATGTGATTATTTTTCTCATTTTTTTTTTTTTAATTACAATATTTGTTACAACTTTGTATTCATCTTAAATTATTGATCTATATCAAATCATAAATTTATTGAAATTGTGATTGAAGGCAATGCAACAAGAACGTGAAGCATTGAAAAAGTTAAGTAATGTCAAAACAGATCATGAGAAACGACTGCGCGAGTTAGAAAGTACTCAAGAAATGGACAAACATCGAGCAGAACTTATTACTCGCAATCAACAATTAGTGGATGACGCTATATTAGCTGTCCAGACTGCATTAGCCAATCAGGTAATTTGTACTTTATAATAAATTTTAAGAAATTTCTGATAATGTATACTTTATTCGTTTTTTATAATTTTTAAACAAATTTTTACTTATAGGTTCCTTGGCCCGAGATCCAATCATTGCTCAAAACAGCCCAAGCTAACAATGACCCAATTGCAAGCTCAATTAAACAATTAAAATTAGAAAGCAATCATATTTCTATGATTCTACTAGACCCATATACAGAATTCATGTCTGATGATAGCGATGTTGATGCAGAAGAAAATACAAATGAATTACCAAAAAAAATGATTGTCGATATTGATTTAGGACTCAGTGCTTATGCTAATGCTAGAAGGTATTTTACAATTATGGTTTAAATAATATTTTTGATTAAGATAATTTAAACAAATTCAATTCTCTTAATTCATTACTATTTTAAATTGTTTGTTACACTTTCCAAATATTTTTTAATTGTAATAAATAAGACATATATTAAACACTTTCAACATATATATATATATATATATATATATATATATAATATTATTATAATTATTATTTTATCAGATACTATGATCAGAAAAGAAATGCAGCCAAGAAGCAACAGAAAACGATTGAATCGCAAGGTAAAGCATTGAAATCTGCTGAAAAGAAAACTAAGCAGACATTAAAAGAAGTTCAGATGATGACAACAATAAGTAAAGCTAGGAAGGTTATGTGGTTTGAAAAATTTTACTGGTTTATCAGTTCAGAAAATTATTTGGTAAAAAAAATATTCTTAGTCTAAAATGTTGTAAATGTAAATTTTATTCTTAGTTTTTACTTTAGGTGATTGGGGGAAGAGATCAACAACAAAATGAACTTATTGTAAAGCGATACTTGCGGGGATCAGATGTGTATGTCCATGCTGATATTCAAGGTGCTTCATCAATTGTCATAAAAAATAATTCTGATGATCCTATACCTCCAAAAACATTGAATGAAGCAGGTGTCATGGCTATAGCATACAGGTGATTACATATTAACAAAAATATTGTTAGTAGATAGGCTCACAGAACAAAAAATAATTTTAAATTAAAAAAATAACATAAAAGTACTACTTTTAACTGCTTGATTTACAAAACTTTTTGATTGATTATTTTTATGTAACTCATAAGCAATAAACAAACAACTGAAAATGAAAAATATTATATATTAATATGATTTTATTTAAAATCTAGTGTTGCTTGGGATGCAAAAGTTGTAACTGCGGCTTGGTGGGTACATAGTAACCAAGTTAGTAAAACT